GATAAGACCTTCTGCCTGCTGCTGTAAGTGGACAAAGAAAAAACAAAACACCCAAAAAAATCCAATCAAAAGTTCACTTTCAAAAATGCCTGAGTGCGTTAAACAATTGATCAAACATAATGCGGAGCTTTTGCCCAGTTGGTTTTGGCCATTAGCGTTGAGTCAGACGATTTGTGTGAAATTTTGTTTCCCCCAAATCGAATTATAATAAAACGCGAAACTCCTTTTGTTTACACTGAGTATTAGCGGGTAATATGATTATATGCTTCCCCATAACTGCTGAAATTACACGGAGAATAATTTTTGAATAGTGTTTTGTTTTATTAATAGAAAAACTTTTGAAGCAAGAAAACTAAAAAAGTGAATCATTTAAGCTACCTACAAAGTAATAATGAATTTTATAATTTTTTCAATAGCCAAAAAAAGTTGTACAGTTATGTTTCTCACTGGAATATTTAACTTGTACTTTGATATTGACAAAATACAGATTTTATATGATACTTGGTTTGGTATTTAATATCATAAAAACATTGATCCATTTAATTTAAAAAAAAATTATATTGTATTTTAACTTTACCCCAACGACTTTATGCTAAACAAATCACAAGGGTTTTAAGAAAAACTTTTAAATCTCATTTTTAAAGTGTCTTAAAGTATGCAGTAAATAAAGAACAGACGTCTTTCTGAATGATTTCAATGTACTTCTGAGATCTAAATATATTGTTGCATACTTTTAGACAGCAAAAAATAATATATAGAAGTTATTTATCCCTAGTGATTTAAAGAGCACCCCTTATAAAATGGTTTAAAAGGCCGTATTATCTTAATGTTATAAATTTATGACTAAGATCTCGAAACTAATTGAATTTATATACCATCTTTATAGTGTGGTATCCAGCATTGTGCTGGGTTTGATTTGCTGCGGCACCCTGTATGAGATTTACCTGAGGGGCAAGCTGAAGGAGGCACTGCGTCGCCAGGACAAGGAGATGATGAACAACAGCGAGACGAGCTCGGGAATAGGATGTGCGTCGTCGGACTACAGCGATACGATGACGGCCCACGATGATCCCCTCAAGCAATCGAATCACTCCCAGTCTTCCGGTTCCCTGAAGCAACTGGATGCCTTGGTGCTGAATTTGCCACCCAATGATAATGACAGCGGAAATGGACACCACCACGACCACGAGGCGGATCACCATGACCATCATGATCATCATCGGAGTGGAAGCAACACTAGCAACTCGGATGAGCACCTAGAGGGCCATCTGCATGAGCCGGAAAAGTTGAGTATCTACTCGGAACTGCTGCTCTCCTTCTCGGCGATAACGAATTTCAATGCGATCTGCGATCGGAATGTGGGTGCCGATACCATACCGTGCATCCATGGTCTGCGAGCCTTCAGCATGGCCTGGGTGATCCTGGGACACACGTGCATCGTGGTCTTCAAGTACTCGGACAACATGGAGATGCGCAAGGAGGTGGAGCAGAACTTCTTCTTCCAGGCCATCACCAATGGGCCCTTCAGTGTGGACACCTTCTTCTTCATCAGTGGCTTCCTGATCTCGTACATCTATTTTCGAACCAATGCCAAGGGCAAGTTGAACAAACTGAGCAAGGGAGCCAATGAATTCACCGCTGGCACCGCACACTTCTTTGGACTGGTCGCCTACCGATTCATGCGACTCACCGCCCCCTATCTGTTCGTCCTGGGCGTGGTCCAGGTGACCATGAAGTACCTGGCCACCTACTCGATCTTCGACCCCCCCACCATGGATCACATCACCTGCCCCGATTACTGGTGGCGCAACATCCTCTATATCAACACGCTGTTCCCCGTCGATGAGATGGTGAGTTGTATAAATTGGAATGATATATGTTTAATAAACATTCCCCAATATATTGAAAACTTTTGAACTCTTATGATCTAAGTAATTTATATTGTTTCTTGTAAAAATATTCACTCAAGAGTATAATCTTATCTTCTAATGGGATATACTTAGACATTCAGCAACTTACAGCACACAGATAATTTGATAACAAATATAGAAATGCGAAGAAATATAACACGTTAATGATAGCTGGTATTTATTTAAGATGTAGGGGTTGTATGATCTAAAGAAGAATAATCTAAAATTTAATTTTGAAGTTGTACTAAATTTTATATTATCCATTTTCTATTAACATTACTCATACGCAGTGTTATCTAGTTTAAATTAGGAGGAGTACATATGTTTGAATATATATATATATATATATATATGAATATATATATATATATGAATATATTTGTAAAGAAAGAAAAGAAATGTTGATAGACAAAAATTTAGCAGTGTTAAAACCCTTTAATTTTAAAAACTGTTAAATTATTTATAGTTTAATAGATATACTAATAAAAAGGTTTAAAGTATCTCTAAATCTAGTGTACCTATTCCTTAATTTGTATAAATTATACTTACCTTATCCCTTCTTCCTCAAAATCCGCAGTGCATGCTCTGGAGTTGGTACCTGGCGAATGACACGCAGTTCTACATGATTGGCGCCATTATCCTGATCGTGGGAGTGCGCCACTTCAAGCTCTCGGCGATCACGACGCTGGTGTTCCTGGTGCTATCGTGGATCACCACGGCGGTGATTGCCTTTACCAACAACCATCGACCGAACACGGACGATCCGCTAGCACTGTTCGACAAGATATACGACAAGCCTTGGACCCGGCTGGGACCCTACCTCATCGGTATGGCCGTGGGCTGGATCCTGTTCAGGACCAACTGCAAGATCCGGCTGCCCAAGCTGACGGTGGCCACCGCCTGGACCCTGGCCATGCTCAACCTGTTCGTCCTGGTCTTTGGATTGTACAAGGCCGACCTGTCGCAGTTCACCGCCGCCGCCTACAGCTCGCTGAGCCACTCGGCCTGGGCGTTGTCCCTGGCCTGGATCACCATCGCCTGCTCCACGGGCTACGGCGGCTACATCAACTCGCTGCTCTCGGCGCCCTGCCTCTATCCCTTCTCCCGCGTCACCTACTGCGCCTACCTCGTCCACCCGATCGTCATCCGTTCCATGGCGCTCAACTCGGATGCGCCACTGCATCTGGGTGGGGATCTGATGGTGAGTTGGGAGATTGCTCCCAGAAACTAGAAATACCAGAAATACAAAAGTGTCTAGTGGTTTATAAACTTATTTTAGAGTGTCCAAAAGTATGCAACGATATATTTCAAGTCCCAGAAACAGTTTTCAATTTGTTAGGGGCTTTGGTTCTAATAACTAGATGCTTTAAACGTTTGAATATGTATTATAAAATGTTTAGATTTCACAAGTTCTAATGGTATATGCCAACAGACGTAATATTTTTTAGAAATTTTAAAATGTTTATTGGGGGTACCACAAAAATCACAAGAGTTTTGAAACCTCTTTTAAATTATATTTTTAAGTGTCTAAAAGTATGCAGTGATTCCTGACTTTATTTTTTTCATATTTTGATTTATTCTGTAGCAAAAATGGACAAGTGATGTTTTTCCATTGCATACGTTAGCAACTTATGAATCATCCTCCTGAATGAATTTATTGTACTATTGAGTTTAAAATATACTGTTGCATACTTTTAGACACTCAAAATGTCATTTAAAAGTAATATACAAATGCGAATACTACTGAATAATTATAAAATCACTTTTATGTCATCCCTTGATTATAATTTTTGGTTTTTCTTCTGCTTTCAGGTTGTCATGTTCTTTGGTCTCACGGTGGCCTCCTACTTCCTGTCCTTCGTGGTGTCCATGTCCTTCGAGGCGCCCGTCGTCACAATGCTGAAGATCCTGTCGCCCAGTCGAAAGAAACGCCTCGCCTAAGTCCCACGCCCCAGATCCGCCCATTTCCGATTATTTATACCCCCCATTTTGTCATGTTATCTATTCCTTGTCTATCAAGCAATGTCCACATATTTATAGCATCGACTCATCTGCACACACCACTCCTTTCGATCGTTTTCCCTCTACATATATACATATATTCTTTTTACTCTGCACCACATTTTCCACTCACATGTGTTCCAGTAAAGAAAAAAAACAAAAATCAAAAACGAGGAAAACACGACGTGCAAATTGAAACGTGCAAATCAAATCAAACTATTTTTTGTCATATTTTTGTTTCATAATGTGTACATTTTAGTCCTTTAATTTATTCCAAAGGTTTGGAAAATTTGCGCGTGACGAAGAGAAAGAGTTATACATAGTACTTAATAGTTATAATTATATGAAACTCTAGTACCTAATTTTATGAAATCATGTTGTATATACTATATGCTATATATTGTTATACATAAATCTTTAAATAAAAACTGCTACCAAATACAAAGTGTGGAAGTTTCAATGGAAATTTAAATATTGATATTAAATACAAAATACCATTCTAATCTACAATCTAATCTACTGGTATAAAAACAGTGGAAATGCATCACCAAATTTACATATTCACAGCCATGTGGTTTCGATAGCAAATTGAACATTAGGGATATTCCCAGAATTAGTTATCCTAACCCTTTCGAACCCCACATTTTCACCGTCGCGGGGTTATATTTTTAATATATATTTGTTTTAACTCTGGATTTATAGCCTACTTTTAAAATACTAAACGTACCATGTGAAATTTTGTACTTTTAAGTTATTACACATCTTACACCAATTTTACACGAAGTTAAATAATTTTACATGTAAGTTCATGCACATACATACACTTTTTTTGGATCTACATAAAATTGTTTTCCTTATGATTCCTAGAGATGTCAAAGCCTACACAGACTGCTAAAAATTGTATTCCAAAGCAAAACGAGCGTTATTTATCAAGTTGCTCACAAGCAAAGTCGAAGGATAAAAACCAGGACACATGCTTATTTAAAGTCTTGTCTCCCAAAATATCAATATATTTAAAAATGTTTATTCTCATGTTTTATAAATATAATTAATTTAGTTTAAATTAATATGTAAAGATAGAATGTAAACTATTTTTCGGTAGTCCCTATCCGGTAAAAAAGTACAAAAAAAAAAATATATATACAGAGATTCTTTTCTGAATATATTAGCTACAATACATATATGTTGTATAAATTAATACACCTAAATTAGTCCCTGTCCGGTAAAAATGTATAAAAAAAAATTATATGCAGATTCTTTTCTGAATATATTAGCTACAATACATATATGTTGCATAACATTATTATAGCTAAATTAATATGTAAAGGTACAATGTAAACTATTTTTCGGTAGTCCCTATCCGGTAAAAATTAAAAAAATTACATGCAGATTCTTTTCTGAATATATTAGCTACATTACATATATGTTGCATAACATTAACATAGCTAAATTAATTTGTTAGGTACAATATATATTTTTTTGGTAGTTCCGTGTCCGGTAATCATTTGTGAAAAAAAATTATGCAGACATTTTATTCTGTTGGGCTGTTGTGTAACATAAATATAAATAATATAATATTGGAAATGAATTTGATGATAAACCGATACAGAAAGGTGAGGTTTCACTTGTTTAAGTGTCCCTTATCCGGTAAATGCCTTAATTCAATATCACGTTGCAAGTCTTTGATTGGGAGTCATCCTTAAAATTGAGACTATCTTCTTTATGCATGGTTAAGTTCGGCTGTTGTTCTTAAGTTCGGGTGATCGGTGGAAGTAGTCGAGTTTTGTGCATTGATATTTGACGTCGCCTACTCGTAGGTTAAGGATGCACTGTTCGCAAGTGTCGTTTAAGATTTGAATTAGTTGTAAAGGACATATTGCATTGGACACAGGGGAACGGTCGTTCTCCGGTGTGTATGCGCATGTGTACCTTGAGGATATTGGCAGCTTTAAAGGTCGCCGAACAGACGAAACACCTAAAGCGTCGTTGCCCGTAGTGTATCTTCAAGTGTTGTGTGTAATTTCCTTTCGATGAAAAACTTCTTACACAATGCGGACACTTGAAAGGTAGATGCTCGGTCAATTTAACATATCCATCCTTAAGGCTATAAAATGTTCCCTGTACATTTTCCTTGATCACTGGGATAGAGTCGGAGTTTGAGATATGGCACTGTTCTTCCTCGAAAATGTCTTCTATAAGTGGCTCGTTTATCACTTGGGGTTCATTTGTACTACAAAAGTCTGGGACTTCTTCCTTAATGTGGATCTCTTGGGGGGCTCCTTCTGCAACTCCTGATTCCTTCGATATGGACACCTCTTTTCCGCTGAAGTCCTCCAGTGAGGGTTTCATTATCTCATCAAATTGTTGATCCGTATCCATATCGTAAGCATTTTCCGCATCCTGCAGGCAGGACTTGCAAATGGTTTTGGGGAAGGGATCATCTTGCTCAACAGGATAGCCACTCCAGTGTGAGAGGATATTCGCAATGCAAGTCCCCGACGCGTGCGTCCGATTAAAGATATTTACCATATTTTCGTTGTTTTCCAAGCAAACACGACATATGGACGCCTCCATAGCTCTGAAATGTAACAATATTGTGAGGGATAGCTAAGTTAGATGAGATACACTAGCTTACGGCCGTATATTTATGTAGATGACTTACAAATATTCGCTGGATAGTTTGTTTACAGCTATAAGAACCGGGAATTGTGTTTGTACTATCGATAGAGATCGCGTAGGTTGTTAGGGGGATTCTTGAAAATGCTTTTTCTTATCGGAATATTACTAATATTATTTATTGTCCTTATGGTATAGAAATTACGAAATTATTTTGTGGTTGGATGAAAATTATAAGTTGAGTGTTGAACAACATTCTAACTAATTAGTTCCATTTAATAATAACCAGGTTTAAGATATATGTTGAACTATCGGTACCTGCTATCGATGCTTAGCCGAGATTCAATCGATTTTTGTCTAAAATCATTTCACCATCTGGCAACCCTATTTAAAGCGATATTGTAGTTTTCGAGAAATTATTTCGAAAATGACGCCTGGGACGCAAATTACGAGCGACAGCGACATGGACACCGTTCTGGAGGAGTTCAAGCAGCGCCATGAGCGCCGGAACAGCATCGGATCCGCCAAGTACTCCTGCAGCGTGCCAGAATGCGGAGCCACCTTCAAGCGGCTGGACCAATTGGACCGGCATGAATATCACCACACGGGAATTGTAATTATAGTGCCTTAATCTATTATATTTACCCGATAATAACCCCCGATCTTCGCAGAAAAAGCACGCCTGTGCGTACGAGGGCTGCGACAAAACGTACTCCATAGTAACGCACTTGAAGAGGCATCTGCGGAGCACCCATGAGCGGCCGGATGCGACGGTCAAGAAAACCGTGAAGTGCGCGCTTGAAGAGTGCAGCAAGATGTTCATCTCGGTCAGCAATATGACCCGCCACATGCGAGAAACCCACGAAAGTCCACGGGTCTATCCGTGCAGCCACTGCAGCGCCAAGTTCTCGCAGAAACTCAAGCTGAAGCGCCACGAGATCAGGGAGCACACACAGGAGTATCCCTTTACCTGCTCGAAATGCTCGCGCGGATTCTACCAGGAGTGGCAGTGCCAGAGTCACGAGCCCAGCTGCAAGCAGTACGAGTGTCCCGGTTGTCCAAAGAAGTTCGACAAGTGGTCGCTATACACGAAGCACTGCCGGGACACGTTGCACGGCAAGAATCGCCACAAATGCGACCGCTGTGAGTGCGCCTTCGACAAGCCCAGCGATCTGAAGCAGCACATCGAGGTGAAGCACAAGGAGGCAAAGAAACAGGAGGAGGAGACATCATTCACCTGCACAGAGGAGGGCTGCGGCAAGAGCTACTCGTACCTGAGGAATCTCCGCCAGCACATGCTGACCGCCCATTCGGGCAGGCGTTTCGAGTGCCAGACCGTGGACTGCGGACGCTGCTTCAGCAGTGCCCAGAATCTGGCGAAACATCTGCTCAGGGATCACAAGGATGGCAAGGTGAAGAAGGACAAGAAACCTAAGGCTACGGAGTCCAATCCACGCAAGCGAAGACGCGATGCCGGACGCAGCAAACACTCGCAGCTGTCCAAGCTGGCCTGTTTGCAACTGGACAAGGAAGAGGAGGAGGCGGTGCGTGAACGGGAACCCTTAGCTCTTGAAAAGGTCACACAATCGTTGCAGGATGACCCCGTCGAGGAGTTGCTGGCACAAACCCTTCAAGATGAAGAGGAAGTGAATTAGAAGATCGGGTCAAAACCAACAACTCTGAAAATTCCGAATATTCGATAAATTGAGGCTAAACAAATTAAGTATACTTTCAAAAAGGACACTGAACCTTGAAGACAAGCTGAAATTGGAGTACAAAAGACGGTAAGCTCAATAGTTTAATAAACCTAAGGAAACTGCTAGTAATTTAACACCAACCAATTAAAGAAACAAGAAATCAAGCAGAATTTTCAAGATACTGCCAAAGAGACAAGAACTTAAACAGATATGACAAGATAAATAGCAAAAACTGCAGAACATCCGAACGCGAATGAAGTTACCTTTTACCTATATTTAATCATCAAAGGCAGACTTTAGAATGTATAATAAATTAAGTTTAGACTTCTCCCTCCTTATTAGTTAATGGTTGTGAATTAAGCCTAAGTTTACATGGAGAGAATTATTTTTGTCGCCGCCTGGAGCGGTTTAATATTCTATTTCTTAATTTTTCTTTTGTGTACTTTAAGCTTCTGAGAATCCCATTCCGACTAAAACTATTATTTTATTGAATCCCTGACAACCAGACGTCTGTAAATATGCGAAGTAAGAACCACTCATGTGGATTTAAAGTAATATTATTTATAAAATATATCTAAACCTTACCTTAGTTGCCATGACATCTTTTATTTTAATAAGTACACTCAGTCGTAATTTAAGCAGTCATACGATGTTCGTATTTTTTGCATTTTTTCTTTTGTTTTTTTATTAAACAATATTCTAAAAACAAAACAAAATGCTTAATGTGTGGACGCGATGGCAGACGTGGATTGGAAAGATAGGGATCGGTAGAGTGGCAGTGCGATTTCGGGGGGCTACAGTGAGTTGATGATCTTCCGGCTGCGCATCTGCTCCAGCCAGTGCTCGTACTGCTGCTCCGGCGTCTGTGGCTCCTGGTAGTAGTGCTGCGGCGGCTCGCCCTCCTCCAGTCTCACGAAGTAGTGACAGTGCTTGTACTCCACCTTGCCGAACCGACCGCGGGCGTGGCGCCTTACGCCCTTGAAGACGCGTCCCTTGCCCACAAAAGATTCGGCTGAAAGGTAAATAGAAAAATTAATTATTTACTACAATATTAGTAAGAGAAACTTGGATTTTGAGAAGTGGTGTTTTTGCTCATTTCATATCGTTTTCAAAGATTTGGGAAACTATTTTTTTATACAATTTGTCGAGTTTTTAGGCAATGTTTAGTTGTAAAAAACTTGAGAGCAGAACTATCCATTTTTCATTTTTCAAAATGGGATTATACAAATTTAATCAGTTTTGGGATTTACGAATTGGCTGAAATGTTGTCCAACTCAAAGTTGGTATAAAAAATAGGAAAGATGTGACAAAAATTCGAAATATTCAGGATATTCTTAACTTCTACATAACATCAATAAAAATATACCAAATTATGAAGATATATGGAAATATTTGACACTTCTTGGGGTGAAACCCATTTCCATTGCCAGATTTCGAAATTCCACTGCAAGGATGCAGTACTTTTAACCAGGTTTCTGGATGCCCTACTCACCGATCCACAGATTGCTCTTGTACTCCACATTGTGATGCTCCACGGCCATTTGCTGGGCCTCCAGAATGGTCTCCTTGACATCGGTGGCTCCCTTCTTGAGCACGAAGTTCAGTTGCTTGAGGGCTTCATCGACGGACATTCCGCGCACAAAGGCGGCGATGTACCACATCTTGTCCGGACTGTATTTGATGTTGTTGCGCATATGGCAGACGTACTGAAAATGCGGGTGATATGTTGTATTACAACCGGGTTATCAGGCGGATGGTATCGCAATCTTGCTTACCGCCTTCCTGGGCTCCTCGTCCATTTCCTGCGGCGGATGGACCGTCTTGTTGTACTCCAGCCATTTGCGGGGTCCGTAGTTGTACTTATTCCACTTGGCACACAACATTCCGCCCGTGTGCAGGGATTTCACTTGGAGGGCAGGTGGAGCTGTTGATATGACGACCGGGTTTCCGGTTTCCCGCGATCTGAGGAGCGCTGCTCCCTGCGACACCTGCAGGCGCAGCTGGCCCATCTGCCGGATCACCTTGTGCATCTTAAGTTTGCTATTTTATCACAAAAAATCCAAGCAATTCAATTGGGAAAGGAAAACGCAGACTTCTCGTTCGGTCGCGTAATCTGCCAGCTGAGGTATCGATATCCCGATAACATCGATATACCGACTATCTGGCCGTTGGTTGTTGCCACACTTTGAAAATCGATATTTTGGTTTTGATTTTTCAAAGTTTCAAATTTAAAAAATTTATCGTTGCAAATTTAAAAAATTTGCAAAAAGGTCAGGTCTTAATATACTTTGTAATTTTTGTTTAAACAGTTTTTTTTCATTTTTGATTCAGACGCACTTTACATGGATTTCCTTGTTTTCATACCTGTTCGCCACCATCTCAACCAGTCCCAACAAACCCTGTCAGGGAAATTCTTCTAGTGAAGCCATCTTTTCCTCAAGAATCCTTGTTTCTGGAGCATTTGTTTTGATCAGATGGTGTACAACCGAAAACCAGCTGACGGTGATATTTAGGAGTAAAATAGCAGCTGATTTGCGGGCGGTCTGGCAGCCCATGCTCAGGTGGCAAGTCCGTCTGGCAGCTCTTTAAGTACTGTTAATAAATTAAATAGGTTTATTTAATTAGTAAAAATAAAATAAACAAAATAACAATTTAATATTCTTATCTTTGAACATGAAAAAATTTATGTACATTTAAAATTTGTAACGTATATTTTCATTTAGTTATTGTTTTGGGCTTGTGTTTTAACTATAAGTTCTTCCCAAAGGCGAATCATCAATTTTTTAAATTAATAATTTTCTTATTTAGAGTAATACAAATCTATAATTTTTCTAACCATTTGAGATTCAGATTATAAAACCTGGTGAAATATTGTGCTTTGAGCCATGGCACATTTCATTTCGCGCCCACATTCAAATCCCATAACGGTCCGGTATCACCAGCGCCTTTCCAGCGGGGTTTGAAATTGTATCTGAAAGATTGCCGGCCAACCACTCGCTGCATTCGGTCGCGTGAAGCGGTTCTTGGCTGATGTGATTGTGATGTGCGGAGCGCTAGCGATCGAAACGGAAATTTGAAGGGCGCCAGACTCGATACGATTTAAATTTTAAATTTCGAAAATACAAATTCGCGTTTGCACGTTCAATTGATGGTAATTGAAAGGCGAAACTGTTTGTTTGACATCCGATACATTTGTCTATCTAATGCGGTGGAGTGCGAGGGCTCATTGTTTGTTTATATTAATTTGCATTGCCACTTTGCTCTGCCTCGGATGGCCGACAAAAAATGCATGAATAGTCGGATTGCAAAGCATTCCGAGATCTTGTGATTGCAAATCTAAACCATCTGGATAAAAGAGTGAACCTATTTTCACTGTAGCGTTCTAGTTTCGAGGAAAAATCCATGTGCCCAAAGCACACTAGAAAATCTCTTTATAAATCTTGTTGTTTTCCAAATAATTTTCAAAGTTCATTTTGCAAAGTAAAGTAAAGTTAAAGTAATTTTTAATTAAAATCGATAAGGTAAAATGTACACAACTGAGCAAAAAAAAAAAATTTAATTTTTTTTTATCTCGGGTATTTTAAATTAATTAAATTTTAATGACGCTATATATCTGTTAGATAAATAACTTCAAATATGTAGACAACATTGAAATTAGTTTATCTGTAGAAAAAACTTTCAAAGTTTATATGTGTACCAAGGGCATTTAAAAATGCTTGGAAAAAATGTTACCTAGGGAGTACTGTGTTTTGTTTTAAATTTTAAAATTGATTGAATTGGAATTTAAGTTCTGACTAAATTTTTTAATTAAAAATTTTTTGCTAAATCGATATAGACAATTTTTTAAAAAATTAAGATGAAAACAACTCTTTGAAATGCTCAGTTGTGAAAATTTTACCCTGGTCCAATTTAAATACATCTATGACCAATCTTTCTTGCATATAAACCTTCCAAAATCAAATGGTCGAAACTTCTGCTAACGGAAATTACAGTCTTCCCACACGAAACTCACCTAAGAAAATTTTTTCGAGTGGGATGCTCGCACATAGATAATGAAAAAATAAACTTTTGCTATCATTTCGGTTGTTAGAGAGCTGCGAGGCTGCTCTCCCGAGTCTAGAGGCTAGTGTCTAGAGACTAGTGTCTAGAGTCTCCAATGAGTAGGCGATCTTACACGACTACGACACCGATGTTGCCTATTGCTGTGCTAAGGTGTATTTACCAGATAGTCGTGGTTTAAATCTTGCTGCGATCGCTGCCGAGGTAGAGCAAAAAATCTAAAAAAAAACTAAAAATAAAATGACAAACAATAAATAAAAGTGAACTACGTTAATTACCTGCAAAAATGAGATAATAAAAACACGCGACGCGCTAAAATTTGTTTTTAACATTTTTTTCAAGTGACGAAGCACCAGTGAAAAGTGCACTCACAAAATAAATATACTATATATATGTTTAAAAAAAATAAAAAACAATAACAAAATAAACGCAAATAGGCAAAATCAATAAAGTGAAGCAACGCACTGATGTCTCAGCTGTATTTGCACCCATTTTGTGCAGTGTAGACGATCTGTATATGCACGTCTATATATACATGTGCATATATACCTAGATATAGGCGGACTCTGATTGGTGTAGCGCCTAGCATCCAACTTTTTAGATTTATTTTTAGATAAATGATCGGGTGTGTGTATTTTTTCCACTAATTTGATGTGTTTTTTTTTCGAATTCATATCTTTAACATCTGGGCAAGATTGTATGGATTGCAGGACTGCTACTAGTTATCTTCAAATGATGAACATGAAATAGAAAAGTGTTAAAAATATGTTTCAAAATGTATTAAAAATAAAATCACAGATTTTGGCCACAAATAATTTGTACACATTTTTAGAGACTTTCACAAAAGTGCTGTAAAAAACTGCTTAGCGCTACTTTATTTGTTTCTGCTTTAATGCAAAGTGGCAAACTTTCAGTTTACAATTGAGTTTGCCTGGCAACGAATATACATTTTTCGACTGCAAATTAACTGACTTATTTATATTGGCACATTTGTGAATGTGAGCAGCATGATCAATTTGTAGAACGTTAAACTGCTTACACCATATGGCGTTCTACAGCGAATTTTCTTTTATTTTTATTTTTAATTATAATCCATTTGCTTGTCTATGAATGGCAGCCGCCCATCAATGAACTCGAGTCGCCCACACTCGGCGGAAAAACTAGGCAATATGTGTAGTGAAAAATGTTTCAAATGTCACCTGCACACCGCCTACAACTTTTTTTGTTGGTCACACAAACTTAAATACACGTAAAAAAATATCTGATTGGCCATCAACATCCGTTTTTAATTAAACATTTTCAAGTCAACATGCCAAGATTTCTTTATTATATTATTTACTGTTTGTTGCTTTGAAAGTGATTTTGATCAAAGGAGCATATTAAATTAAATTTGTGTGGGAAGGGCTGCCTGGTTGCCACATTACTAATGCTTCTTAGCGGCTATTTTGTTATTTTGGCCAACCTGTTTGACGGCAAATTACGTCACCATCTAAACGTTGATCGCAGAACTCGCC